CAGCATAACCGTATCGGCCCATGAGCCACCGCCTTCTGTGCATGTGTCTCCGAGGCTAATTTGTTTTGGCAGAATATCAGTTAACATTTTGAACATGGCCAAAAGTGTTATGTAATACCAAATTTGGTATAGACATTCCATGCACAGGGCAAGGCGTGACCAGACGATTGGTAGAATCGGGCCTATTCTACCACCCGTCTAGGCAAAGTTAGGGTCGAAGTGGTGTGTTGGATTATTGAACACTATTGCCGGTTCTGTCATCCTCAACCACCAGACTGCCTTCCTCTGCCGACACAGGGACGCAGGGACGCAACCCACGGCAAACCCACGGGTTGCCCAATTTGATCGCCTCTTACAACCAGCAGTGGGGTGCTGTGGACCTAATCGAGCCCAGGTCCACACGGGGGCGAAAAGCCATTGGCTTTACCCAGCACCCACCACCAGGAGGTTGCTCTTCAAGGGTGCCCTGATTTTAGGCTTTGGAAAAAAAGAAAGTCTTCAACTTAATTTTGAAAGGGAGAGAATTCCACAGAGAAGGACCAGCATACTGGAAAGACCTCTTGCCAAAGGAAGAAAGGAGAACTTTGGGAATGGAGAGGAGACATTGGTCTTGGTATCTGAGAGTTACGGTAGTTGAATACACAGTGAGAAGTTCATAGAGATATGGAGCTTGATTCTGCAAACATTTATGCAAAGAAGGTCTATCCGGAACTTGATTGGAAGCCAGTGTAATGATGAGAGTACAGGGGTGATATAGTCTCGTTTAGTGGTAAGGATATAATACGTGCTGCTGTATTTTGCACTTTTTTGTAGTTTATTGAGATGTCCGTTGGTGAGTCTGTATAGAAGGCTATTACAGTAATCCAATCTGGATGTTACAAGGCATCTCACAAGAGTGTGGGCACTTTCCATTGTGATGTGCTTCCTGATCGTCTGAGTCTGAGTCTGAGGTGGAAATAGCAGGTATGACACAACTTATCCACATGCGAATCTAGAGACAGGCCTGAATCAATATAGACACCAAGATCTTTTATCACAGCTGACGGTGTGATGTTAGCTGAACCAATCTTAACACCATCGATGTTCAATTTCTCCAAGCTCTCTGGTTTCCCAACAACGAGAACCTCTGTTTTAGTGTCATTCAATTTTAGTTTTCTGCCCGTCATCCATGTCTTGATTTCCAAAGTACAGTTCTCAATCTGTTTCAACGTTGATTTGGCATCATTTTGTTTGAACTTTGGCAGGAGTTGGTTATCATCTGCATAGGAAAAGTATGGTGTTGAGAATTTGTCACTGATCAGAGAGAGTTGGTCCTCTACAACCAACACTCCTCAGTCTGATAGAAATGAAAAACAAAGTGCAAAATCGAAATTCAAGACAAGAACAGAAACGTCCAAATCAAATCGAACACCTAAAGGGGCAGATAATCAAATCAAATTGATTAACAAGTTTGGATCACTGGAGGAAATGGATGTATCTGATCACACCAATCCAAGGGCACATAGCTTGTCGCCCTCAAAGAAAGTGCGGGGTAGATCCCCAATCAACCCACCTAAACGATAGTCCATTCCAAAAATATAGTACAGTGGAATTGTGGAGGATTAAGGACCAATTTTAATGAGTAACAGCTATTAGTCCAAGATTTTGCACCATCAGCTTTCTGTCTGCAGGAAACTTATCTGAAGCAGACAGATATTTTTAATTTACGTCAGTTCGTTGCATATAATTCTTATTCACCTCCGGGTGACAGAGCCACTGGAGGGTCTTCAATACTTGTTAAGCAGGATGTTATCCATAGTCCGCTAACCCTCACAACTAATCTCCAAGCCGTTGCAGTGAGACTTACTCTTCAAGTTACCTTTACACTATACTCTCTGTATATTCAGCCTTCTTCAACACACCAGCAGTCTGATCTTCAAGCTGTCTATGACCAACTTCCCAAACCTTGTATTATAATGGGTGATCTCAATGGCCATAACCCGATCTGGGGTGGTACATACACAAACTCTAAAGGTAAAATATTGGAAGATTTTATCTCCAATAATGATTTGTGTATATACAATGACGATTCAAGCACTTATCTGCACCCTGCAACCGGCACCTACTTTTCTCTAGATTTGTCTCTTGCAGACTCCAATCTACTAAATGAATTTGATTGGTCAGTCCACAGTAACCCCTGTGGAAGTGACCACTTTCCAACTATCTTATCAGAAATTAATCCATCTGACTCCCCATCGTATATACGAGATGGAATTTTTCCAAGGCAGACTGGTCCTTATTTCAAACTTTATGCACATCTAAACTAAGACCCGAATGTTTCAGTGATATAACTGATCCTATTCAGGTTTTATTCTGACGTTTTAAATTAAATTGCTGATGAGTGTATACCAAAGTCCGCTGATGAGTGTATACCAAAGTCCTCTACAACTTCACATGTTCTGAAACCATGGTTTAATACCGATTGTAGGCAAGCCAGCAAAGCGAGGAAAAAGGCAGAGAATTATTTCCACCATCACCCAACTGTCCACAACGTAAATAAATTTAAAATACTCAATGCGAAGGCACGTCATACCTTTTAACAAAACAAACGGCAATCTTGGAGGAACTATGTCTCCAAAATTAATTCACGTACGCCAATGTCCAAGGCATGGAACAAGGTTCAAAATCTGCTGTTCACCATCTTAAAGATGGTGAAATTTAATTACTGACAAAATCTCAAATTGCAAATAAAATTTGCGAAAGTCTTGCCAAAAATTCATCATCGGCAAATTATGTCACTGAGTTTCAGAGATATCAGAAACAACAGGAAAACTCAATTTCGAATGAAATAACGGTGAAGATTATAATGAAGTGTTTTCATTACATGAGCTACATACTGCTCTCCAGATGCCCATGACAATGCAGCGGGTGATGACAATATACATTACCAGCTACTGAAACAGTTACCTCAACCATGTCTGGTAACACTGTTAGATATATTTGACAAAATAAGGACGTCCGGAAATTTTCCTCCTTCGTGGCGTAATGCCATTGTAGTCCCAATACCAAAACCTGGCAAGAATCATACAGATCCGTCGAATTACAGACCGATATCTCTAACCAGCTGTGTCTGTAAAAGCCTGGAACGCATGGTGAATAATAGATTAACTTGGTATTTTGAAACCAATAACCTTATAACAAATATTCATTGTGGTTTCAGGAAAAATCGTAGTATCATTGATCATTTGGTACGCTTAGAATCCTTTGTTAAAAATGCTATAGTAAATAAACAACATGCAGTATCAATTTTCTTTGATCTTGTGAAAGCTTATGATACGACCTGGAAGCATGGCATTTAAATTTTTTTACATGAGTTTGGTTTGAGGGGTCGTTTACCTCTTTTTATATCACAGTTTTTAAAAGACAGGCAATTTCAAGTTCGAGTGGGTTTAACCCTGTTTGATCATTACAATGAGGATCAGGGTGTCCCTCAAGGCAGTATTTTGTCTGTCACTTTATTTAGTATCAAGATCAACAGTTTATCCAAGGTTTTAAACGATTCAGATGATTGATCCCTTTTTGTGGATGATTTTAATATTTCTTGTCGAGGTACAAAATATGCATACTATTGAACGGCAATTGCAGTTGTGTTTAAATAAAATAAATAAATGGTGTCTTGAAAACGGCTTTAAATTTTCCAAGCCCAAAACTAATTGTGTACACTTTTGTAGAAAATATAAGCCGCATAAAGACCCAGAACTATCTTTAAATGGCATTCCGATCAAAGCTGTAAAGGAGGCCAAGTTTTTGGGTCTAATTTTCGACTCTGAATTTAACGTTCTTGTCGCATATTAAATCCCTTAAAGCTAAATGCCTGAAGGCCCTTGATTTGTTGAAAGTTGTTTCAAACTCAAAGTAGATACCCTCCTCCACCTATATCGATCATTGGTCCGCTCGAAACTTGATTATGGCTCCATCGTATATGGTGGAGCCTGCAAAAGCAAGCTAAAACTACTTGATTCTGTCCACCACCAAGGCCTAAGACTTTGTCTTGGGTCCTTGAGAACCTCTCCTATTGATAGCCTCTATGTTGAGGCTGGTGAGCTATCCCTTAACCAACGTCGTATCAAATTATCATTACAGTATATAACAAAACTCTATTCTAACGAGTCTAATCCTGCATTTAACTGTTTTCAATCCTCTTTATGAGGATTTATACAACAAAAAGTCTTCTCTTGTTACGCCTCTTGGGCTAAGAATTAAACCATTCATTTCTGCAGTTGGAATTGAGCTAGAAAATATTTATCTCTGAAACTAATGAATTACAATATAAACAAGAATATAATCAATTAAAAAATAAATATAATACATACAAATCCTTATTTACAGATGGGTCCAAGGATGGTGGCGCGGTGGCATGTGCCACTGTCATTGGATCCCGAACAATATCTTCTCGACTACCAAATAACAGCTCTTTTTTCACAGCAGAAGCTAACGCCATATTAACAGCTCTTAAATATATTAATAAACACCGTAAATATAAACAATACATAATCTTTTCCGATTCTCTTTCGTGTCTTCAGGCTATTAAAAATCTTTCTTTTAAACATCCACTTTTATTAGAAATTATTGAATTGTTAATGAGCTTGCTACTGGCCAATGCGACATTGGTTACCCAGCAACGTTGGCATTTCTTGGATGTGTGCCGATCTTGCTGCTAAGGCAGCACTCAACAAATCTGTGACACCACTTCTGATCCCATACTCTGATTACAAAGCTAGCATTAGAACCTACATGCGTGATCTGATGCAAAAGAAGTGGGACACCCAAGTAGGTATAAATAAATTACATACTATAAAACCCTATATCGGTTACACCTACTTGGGTTGTCAGTCCAGATTTGAAGAGGTCATCATTCGACGATGTCGTATTGGCCACACAAGATATACTCATGAGTACCTATTGAAAGGTGAGGATCCTCCGTATCTATTTCAAATCACGAACTATGAAGGATCTTTTTAATAATATAAGTTCTCATTTAATTATTGCATTTTTAAAAACAATTAGATTTGTTAAATGATTTGTAAATAGATACATACTTTATTATTGGCAGTTTAGATTAGTAACTGAGATTGTTAGTGACTGTACCCTCAAAGGGGGTTTAAGTAGCGTAAAATTATTGTCCTCCTGAGAGGGTGCGTAAGTCCTGAAACATTCAAAGGAAATATATATTTACCAGCTGTTTTAAATGTAGTATTTTTGTCATTTTAATTTTGGCTAAATTTGACTTCAATCGCCAGCACTTGAAGGGATGATATAAATCCAGCTAGGGTCCATGCAGGCAGCAAAAGGATTGTAAGTCCCCATGGTCCCTAGTTTGGTGATCTACCTTCTATAGCCAGTTTGTATATTGTATTGTCCATATAGTGCTATTAAAATAGTTTTAACTTCCACACTAGTTTTAGTTGTAATTGTGATATTCTAGTTGTTTTACTGTCCTTACTGACAGGTTTTTTATAATATACACATATTACATATGAATGACAAAAATGTTCTCGTCACGATATGGCTGAAATATTGCCGATGTGACGTTAAATATTAACTCACTCACTCACTCGTACAATAAAGAACGGTAGAGTCTTTACCGTTGAACTAAATATTAACTCACTCACTCACTCGTACAATCGATTCTACTGATAGCAGAGATATCGAATATGGTAAGGGCTTTTTCACATTTATTAACAGACAAAGGAGATGGTAAAAATAACGGGTGCACGTAATCCCATTAAAGAACGGTAGAGTCTTTACCGTTTGAACTAAGAATGGAATACGTCCTCATAACTCTTTTCTTAAAAAAAGCGACGAAATAAGGATGGTGACAGAACGTGATGACATTGTTGACGTCATTGTTCTCAACGTCCTAGGACGATTGCACATATAAACAGACTACTGGTCTGTCTGACCCAGGCGTGTTTTATGCTTAGGCTACCTCGACATAGCTGGAATATTACAGACTGTGACATAAAACAACTAATGACCTAATTAAAACATGGCGAACATGCTTGAATTGATCGGTTTAATGATACAACTGCGTGTTGAAGCATGATCGCATAAGACGCACATGCCTTTCCCCTTCCATGACCTTTCATTCAACACAGAAATAGACTATCGATCTTTGTCGTTGTCATGGCAACGGGGTTTTAAGAGTAGGCCGCCTGTCTGTGCTGTTAAAAATCGATCTCAATCAATGGATCCCGCAGAGCTGCTGGCCATATCCTTTGCACACATTTTTAACGATTTGTAAAAAGTAAGATTCAGTCTATTCTAGTTTGCGGGATTGTTCTTATAACTGCTATGTTGCCACTGATAGCATCCTTTCTAGACTGGGGTGATGCCACATTTTAAGTGTACTGGTCATGTAGTACTGTCATGACAGTTCAAGATATCTTGAACCATATGTGTTTCTAAACCAGAGAAAGAATGGTTAACGATACATTAGATTTCTTTTTGGAGATCAATATCACAAGTGTTTAATGTGCTTAGGAAAATATCGAATCATTATCGATTATTTGCAATAGTATATGTTGTGTAAATACCTTTTGTAAATATACAACAACTGGTATCAATCGTGTTCAATCTAAAAAAGTCAATGGGTCAAGACATTGTAAGATATACATTTCATTAGTAAAAAGTGGGTTATGGTTCATTAAAGTGAAGCCAGAAATATTTGCTAGACCAATGCAGTATTAGAGTCTAAGCTGTTGTGTAACATTTTGTACCCCTCCAGATGACCTCTCCAGTCTCTAGGTGGATATTTACAAAATTTGATCTCGTCACCATATGGCTGAAATATTGCCTATTCAACAACGTTTTTTATTCCTTTCTTTCAATACATCACTAAATCGAAATCTCCCGTAGTGCTCACTTCAATGTGACAAAATCGAAGGGAATTATTCCGACTGACTCTTCTCCTGGGAGGAGATAATTATGTGTGAAGAAGAACCAAATAGAAACTGTTGGTATTTCTAGTCCCCTTTTCCCTTCCTTTCAATACATGCCTAAATCGAAATCTCCAGTGATGTGAATGAAAACACATATGACGGTAGCTGTTATTGATTTTAATATTTTCTCATCAAACCGAATACCGATTATATGTACGTTGCAGCTCGCCAAACCTGAGGTAGAGTTCACAAGTTACAAACCAGGCATATTTTAGATTAAATCATTATTCCCACCAGTCGACCTCAATATCAATACTGTAACATCCTTTTATGCGAGTAACATCAATTTATTGTAAATCCCAGTATGTATGTCATTTAAAATAGCTGGGTGGCCAGCAAAAACAAAACGAAAACATAATATTGATGAATTATGAAAATACTTTACCAGACAGACAGGCTTATTTCAGCAACAGAACTCCGGCCCAGAAAATATAAATTGATGATTTATTTCATTGGGCAAGATTATTTACCTAATTTCTGTAACTTGAAATATTCCTGACATGATATAAGTAAATAGCAACATGATATCAGGGTTATTGTTCTGAAGATACCAAAGTGCAAGCAGTTTAATATACTCAGTAATATTTTTGTCTCATAGTGTTGCGTATGATTCACAGAGAGAAAGTACATGCATTCCATCCTTAATAAGGACTAAACCCTCCGGTATACAATACAAACACAGTCTTTGAGTGAGTGAGTGAGTGAGTGAGTGAGTGAGTGAAACTGTAAGTCACATTGGCAGTATTTCAGCCATATCGTGACTATGAAAGTTTGAAATTTATAAATGAATAAAACCAAATTTAGATATCATACTTACCTGTCTGCAAAGGACAGTAAAATAACTAGAATATCACAAAAATAAATGTAAAACTAGTATGAAAATCTAAAACATCTTTACTGTGAAAGACAATAAATAATATGAAATACAGGCTACAGATTGCCAACAACTGAAGGCAGATCACCATACTAGGGACCCAGGGGACTAACAGTATATTTGCTTCCTGCATGGACCCAGGCTGGATTTACACCATCCCAATATTACAGGAAAATGTATTACCCAACCATAAGAGACTGTAATATTGTAACCAGTACAGGGTGGAACTGTCCCATCTTTGGTTTTACTCTATATAATGTGACGCAATTGAAATGAATCTTTCTGACTGACATCATGGTACTCATCTCCTGGGACAAGATAATCATAACATATTTAATCGATCATATGATCTGCGCAGCTTAATATCAAGGACGTTGTAATAATTTAAATATATATTTTATTGAAAGTTTCAAATGGCACTGTTGCCGGGTCTTTCTTTGTATATGATAATAGGTTTTCTGGTCAAAATTAAATTACAATTATTTTTGTTTGATATATACCCACACCTATATCTAGCTGGTTCTCCAGTTACGATAGTTCTTTGGGAGTGATCTTTGATAACCACTTTATAGTTTTATCGCTCAATAATTATCTCAAAACAAAGTACTGAGTGACTGCGTTAAGATTTATGGTAACATCGGCAATATTGCAGCCATATCGTGAGTAAAAAAGTTATAAGTATTGGATATTTATATAGCGCACATATCCACGCAACAACTACATGCTCAAGGTGCTGGTATTTTCTATCTTTAAATTAAAAAAAATATGAGAGCAATAAAATTATAATAAAAACACCTGTCAACGAAGGACAGAATAATTACTAGATTATCACACATAGAGAATTAAACCTGGCATCTAACTTTGAAATTAAACAAACGTTATAGCCAATACAATATAAATAACTCTCTGGACATCACCAGTAACTGAAGTTAACCATGCTAGGGATCATGGGGACTTACAGTACTTTTGCTACCTGCATGGACCCAAGCTGGATTGACATAATTTCTTCAGATGTTGGTGATATTTGCACAATTAGCCATATATTATAAGACATATATTCTACGATAACAATCACGGACAATGAGAAATACTTGAAATAGGCATACATACCCTCTCCGGGGGACAAACAGTCAACCTCCTTTGAAGGTACAGCCACTAACAATCAACCTTATTTAGTCATTCTCACAAATTATAATTCATTTATTGATTACAATACATACCAAAATGTATCAATTGAATCAATTTCTTCTTTAAAAAACCCAAAATAAATGAACATAATTAAAATATCCTTTATAGGTGATGATTTGAAATATTTATCCCTTGTGATATAAACATATATGCAGTCAAGCAGGACATGCTTGACCGTGATTCTGTCATCACCAGGATACAAAATGGAAAATCTTCACCTTATAAATAGTCGTGTGTATATCTTGCCTGGCCAAAACGACATGATCGCATAATGACCTCTTCAAATCTCGACTGACAACCCAAGTAGGTGAAACCGATATTTGTTTTAATTGTATGTAATTTATTGATACCTACTTGAGTGCCCCACTTCTTCTGCATTAGATGACGGATGCTTTTGTAATCAGAGTATGGGATAAGAAGTGGTGTCTGAGATTTGTTGAGTGTTGCCGTACCAGCAAACTCGGAAAAATATTTTCATATTCCCCTTCGTGTCTTCAAGCTCTTAGAAATATATCTTGTAAACATCCACTTTTAATTGACATTATTGAATTATATAATGATCTTGCTACTGGCATCGTTCTCTTATGGTTACCCTAGCCACGTTGGCATTTCTGGAAACAAAATGGCCGATTTTGCTGCTAAAGCAACACTCAACAAATCTGTGACACCGCTTCTCATTCTATACTCCGATTACAAAGCTATCATTAGATCGTACATCCGAGATCCGATGCAGAAGAAGTGGGACACCCAGGTAGGTATCAATTATTTACAGACAATATAAACCTGAAGGATGCTTCTCACTATATATTAAGCATCTCTTCTTTTCCCGGAATAACCGCATTTAAAGCTTTTGTTTGCTCTCAGGATTTACTTTTTGTAAGTAAGACCTCTTCCCAGGTTTTACTTTTTGCAAACATAACTGATATAGGAAAATCCGGTTCAGAATTTCAAAACCCAATATTACCGTTTAATATATCTTGGAAAAAACAAAGGAGTAAAGCCTTCTATAATACTCTCTTGCCACAAAGTCACGTCAGTCCTAGTGGCCAAAATCAATGGGAGGATATTCTGAAACAACATTACAACAAAGATGAGTGGACTAATATTTATCTAATGGCAAACAGATGCACAGAGAGCGTACAGCTAAGGTGGTTTCACTTTAAGATTACTCATAATATTTTAATGACTAAGTACAAATTACAATTAATGAAATATACTGATCCTCCCCTGTGCTCTTTCTGTGAATCCACTCCTGAAACAATAATACATCTATTATGTGAACGTCCATATACTGTGAAAATATGGAAGGAAGTGTCCAGTTGGCTTGATATATTATCCGAAGGAAATATCAATCTCTTTCATGAAAATATTTTATTCGGCTTGAAAGGCAAAAACAATAATCCACTTCATGTAGTTTTTCTTATTGTGAAGTATACATTATATAAAATGAGTTTGAAAAACATGAAGCCAAACTTTCAATATTTTCAGCAGGAAATACTAAATTATTATAAAGCCACAAAATATATTGCCTTTTCAAATGCGAGGCAAACACAATTTTATACTTTTTGTATGTGTAAGTATGTATGTATGCGTATGTATATGTACATGAGGTATATATATGAGGTACGTGCATGTATATTGAAATGTATACTTAATATTGAAATGAAACTTAATACAAGCAATGTACAGCGTCTCCTATTATGTATCAGCTAAGTAATGAATATGACTCATGATCATTGCAACTGTGTAGAATTCTTATAATACATAATACATTGTCCATATAACTGACAAATGCTGTATAACATGTTTCTTCTACAGCAGGACTCCAATACTGTAAAATGTGACATGTATATCTCTCTTGAAAGTGGTTTGTAACACACATGCAAAAACTGTATATTATAACATGTAAAAATTACATTTCATCTTGAAATATGATGTACAACATATTGATGGGAAATAAAAATACATAAAAGGAAAAAGAAAAAAGGTTTTACTTTTTGTAAGTAAGACCTCTTCCCAGGTTTTTTTCCCTAACTCTATATGAACATCATCTTTCAAATGATATATGAGTGTTTGAAATCAATTGAAAAATATCGTCCGAGATCAATTTCAAACTGCAGGATTTGAACCGCATCTATCAGGCTAATAAGCGGACGCTCTACCTGAAGGCTGCCGCGCCAAAGAAGACGTTGGGCTTGAATTATCTATTTATAGTTACTGTCATTAAATTGATTTCACTTGCGCTTCAGTTATTGTTATTGTTCTGTAGCTTCATTAAATGATCATCTACATTATAATTATCCATCATTGACGGTTGATATGTTAGGGAAAACACTTCCCCTCGGTTTTGGTAGAGAATGTAAAACCGAGGGAGGAGGGAAATCTAAAGTCCCTTGGGATTTCCCCTCCCTCGGTCTTCCATTCTCTACCAAAAGCGAGGGGAAGTGTTCTCTGCTATACATAAAACCCACATCGGTTACACCTACTTGGACCGTGAGTCCAGATATACTCATGGGTATTTGTTTAAAGGCGAAGATCCTCCATTTTGCATTTTTGTGATGAAAGAATCATGGTCGAGCATGTCCTGCTTGACTGTATTGATTTTTCCATCACAAGGGATAAATATTTCAATGTCAAAACATTGAAGGATCTTTTATGTAATGTTAATTATCATTTAATAATTGAATTTTAAAGGAAATAACATTACTTGATAAATATTGAGTAATATGTTTTGTAAATGGCTAAATGATATTTTATACATGGTAGCATAAATTAGTAACCGTGATTGCTAGTGGCTGTATCCTCTAAGGGGGTTAAAGGAGAATACTAGACAATTGCAATTATTTCCCGGGTAAACGATAAAGCCATCAGAAACATGTAACCCAATTTTTATTTCAAAAATACAGTTTATTATGTTTTTATCGCGAAAACAGTTTCTGTTATCTTAGCTTCGGCCATTATGCATAATCCGCTGGAACTCACGTGACCTTTCCGCTCGTGACGTGATACGTAACTAGAGTCTGCCATATTACCAAAGAACAAGCGCTACAGTAATACAAATCGTGTTGTTTCTGTCATTTTTGTAAATGGTACGATGGTGTATTACATTGCCTGGGGATGCACTGAATCATCGAACAATGGAAAGAGCCACCATTTCTTCCGTTTTCCAAGTAAAGAGGCAGATTTAGGCAGGGGAAAATGCTCCGATCATTCCGAGTCGGACGCATATGAAAGAGACATGCACACATGGGGTATGAAAATCCCAAAGCTAGGCTGAAGAAGGAAGAAGTACCCACGAGATTCATTTAGACTCCCTCAGTCCCTGTTACAACTTACTGTCAGTGCTACTTATAACATAAATTAAATCAAGTCCGATTGCCAGTCGATTTTGCCCCCCGCTACAAATTGCCCCAACAAAGTTGGTCAAATTGCCCGGGGTGTTTGTGTATGTGTGTGTCAAAATGCCCCAATTTATTTAAAATGATTAAATATTGGCCATAAATGCATAGTTTTGTTCTTCAATTAAAAGTATATACATAGTTATGAGTTTACTAATGGAAAATGTACGAGTTGAGTTGTGCTTTACGTCACATCGGCATTATTCCAGCCATATAATGACGAGATCAAGTTTCCATGCATTACCACTTTAAGTCCAAGGTCCAAAAGTGTTATATTTTAAAAACATATATATACTGTATATTTATTACATTTCTATTTCAAAACACAAAATGTCATAGCACCAAATACAATAGCAAGCAATTTGTGTATTCAAATTTACAAAGTTACAATTTATGATACAGGTCAACTTCCCTCAGGTAGTTTACAATCAGATGCCCGCTCACGCGGGAAAACAGATCTTTCAGATGTCTCGCATCATAATGTGAGTCCCTTGCAGTCGATAAGTCCACACAGTCAAGCAGAATATGCTTGATGGTGAACACTTCATCGCAAGAGACGCATATGGAAGGTCCATCCCCATCCGTTTTCAGCAGATAGTCATGAGTAAACCGACTATGGCCAGTACGACATTGATCAGAAATATTACTTCCTAATACTGACTGAGTAAGTGGTTTTACGCCGCCTTTTGCAATATTCCAGCAATATCACGGCTGGGGACACCAGAAATGGGCTTCACTCATTGTACCCATGTGGGGATTCGAACCCGGGTCTTCGGCGTGACGAGCCAACGCTTTAACCACTAGACTACCCCACCGCCCCACTTCCTAATAACGTTTATATGAAAAACATAATATCAAAGTTAAACATAATATCAAAGTTGACAAAAACTATGCATGTACGGTATATATTTAATAATTTTAGATAAATTTGACCAAATTAGAATGAATGACCAAATTTGCTGGGGCAGTTCGACTGGTCCCCATGAGATATATATTATCAAAATCAGTAAGAGATTTCACATGAGCTTGTTGTTTCGCTATAACCTTCTTATCGGTTTTGAGCCCTAAATGCTGCAGTCTACCCGAAACATTGCCGAATACCAGGGCAAATCATGAAGTACTTGTTGCTTGCATTGTTTTCCATTTTGTCCAGTTACGCACGTCGGCATCAGACTTGCTATTTGTCAGTTGTGTGTGCCGTGAAAGTTGTTTTGTATTCTCATTGGCTGACAAGATTTCATTCTAAGGCTTTGACCGAGTACCATAACTATTTCAACTGGGAAAACATACATTGTCCTGACTAGTATTCTATAATTCACCAGTTTTCGGGGAATAACTTATCTGCGTCGCAAATATTATCTCTGCTCTACCAGGCTGGGATCTTGTATGGAGACTTGATACGTTATTAATGAGAACTAGGATCCTAATTTTTTTCAACAAAATAATTTCAGTGTATTTTTTGTAGCAGATAATTTATATTTCCCCCGTCTGAAGCATAATTATTTTGTTTTGAAATCCCAGACACCCTACAGTCACCCATTTGACACAAAAGAACTGCAATTACATTTTAAAAAAGTTCTTTAGGACTGGTCATATATTTATAGGGGTGGGTCTGCTAGTTAGAATTGTATCACATTTTGCTGACAAATAGTATTCTGTTAAATGATATGGTCTGTTTTTAAATTTATTTTGACCTCAAGCGGTCCCTCCGTTTCGCTTGATTCTTCTTCTTCATCTTCACTGGAAGATTGTCTTGCAAGATGTAAACTCGGATGGTATTGATATGGTCTAACATTCATTTCAGAAATGACATCATGAACATCTTTTACTGCTTCAGAATCCATGGACAGTGTTAAGTTGTTGGGTAGAAACAAAGAGGAAGCCATCAGCAACAGGCACATATGACGTCATGCTCATTAACTGTCGGGTGTTTCCGTAAAAGGCAGAAATAAAACGGTTTTTTAAAAATTTGTATTGCTATTTTACAGACGTTTTGTTCAATTTAATCACGGAAGGTGACTTTTAGAATATCCTTCACAATATATCAAAAGTTTTGTTTTTGTTCCTATTCTCCTTTAAAGTATCGTAAAATTATTGTCCTCCTGAGAGGATACGTAAGTCCCAAACGTTTCAAAGCTAAATGTGTGTTGTGCACAGCTTAATTTAAACTTACAATATTTTTTAAAACGTGATATTTTTGTTCTTTTAAAGTTTGGCGAAATATTTCCTACAATCGCCAGCGGCTGAAGGGATCGTATAAATCCAGCTAAGGGCCATGCAGGTAGCAAAGGCACTGTAACCCCCATGGTCCCTAGTATTTTACTCCACATACAGTTGTTGGCGATCTACAGCCTGGTTTGATATTGTTTTATGAATCTTTTTTTGGTTTAATTACTAGTTTTGAATTTATATCTGTGACAGTCTAGTTGTTTTACTGTCATTCATTGACAGGTGTCTTTAATTTACTTTTAATGATTACAATTCTATAACTCGATTTAGTCACAGTTTGGCTGAAATATTGCCGCTGTGACTTCAAATGTTAACTCAACTCACTCAAAGGGGGTTAAAGTATTGGAAAATTATTGTCCTCTTGAGAGGATACATGTACATGCACATCAATACCAAAACATTCAAAGACAATTTAGACCTATGATGTTTTTTTAATCTTAGAATATGTGTGATTTTAATTTATGGCTGGTTTTGTCTCCTGTCGCTAGCTTCTGAAGGGATGGTGTAAATTAAGTTGTGGTCCTTGCAGGTAGCTAAAGCACTGTAAGTCCCCATGGTATGATGTTCTACCTTCAATTTCATTTCGCAACCTTCGGCAAGATACTCAAGTGTTATCTCCCCGCCACCAGGTGGCGCAAACCAGCTTTTTCCCGCGAAAATTCGCCTTTCTCCATTACCAGCTTTCAGCTAGAAGTCGACTCGTGAAGGTTACAGTTGCATTTCGCTTTTTAGCTGGAGGTTAGTACTTTTCTTGCATAATTGGTTTAATGTATTGTTTCTACGAACATAAGACATTATAAAACATGTCTAGTTCGCCATTGCTGTGTCAAAATAAGGAAAATAACGATGGGCAACACGTGGTCAATGTACCGGCAGGTAATACTGCCGAGTATGAAACTGTTGGTTTCGGACGCGGTAGATTCGGGTCGATCAAAACATATCTGACTCAGACGACGATGCTGTCTCGAAACGTTCGTTTTTGAGCGATACGAGATCCTGAAGGGGTGATAGCACGTGGTCTGTGCAGGGTACCTCGAATATGGGGGACACCCTGACAGAACCTAGACGTTTTGACCCTCATGGGGCATCTAATGTCCCTCGCTGTAGGCTCCCTAAGGGAAAAGTGGACTACATTACCAAGCATTTCACCACTTTCATAGATGACAAGACTATGGAGGGTGTGTTAGAGGAATGTCCTATACCGGAGGGTAAGGTTTTTGAAGTCCCTCAGATGGATGGCATTATTGAATCCCTTATGGAACAAAATGGGATAAGTAATGAGAAGGGAGCTGACAAGGGTCTAAGATCCATTCAGTCCAGGCTCATGAGAGTTATGGGTCCTTTAGGGGCTTTATATGCTCTACTTGAACAGGCCCGTAATGATCAGTCTACTTAGTTAGACTTCGAGTGTGATTGAGTTAGTTGAGAAAACGATATGTTGCACAGGCCAAGTTAATGTAGCCTTGAACTCTACAAAAAGAGGCTAGCTACTTTGTGCAAATTTACAAAGGATCTCAAGAAGAGTAAATCCTTGATGAGAAAACATGCCAACGTCTTCAGTGACACCGATGCCCAATTGTTTTGCGACGGTTTTCGGCAAGTCTTGAAAGACATTGGAAAAAATCGTAGGGAGGCTAGAGAAGTGCCTGATGCACTTCAGCCCCCTAAAAAGAAACTGAAATTTGTGCATAAGCCAAAAGCACAACCTAACCCTCCACAGTCTGCTAGTTTATGGGTCCAGACCCATGTTCAAGCAGCCCTTTCGGCCTATGCTCTCGGGAGGCACACAGGTTTCCGGGGGCGGATATACCGGTGGACATGTCAGCAGTGGAGGTTTGTCCCAGTACAAGAGAGGCAAAAGGTATGTATCAGCAAGTTCCTTACCCCTCAAAAAATCAGTTAGAACACCTGTTCTTAGATTTAGATACCCTGCACAAAAACGGAAATCTGGTGGCCCCAGTGCTAGGTTTGAATTTGACCAAGCTGGCTCCAAACGTTCCTTTGGCAGGGAGAATTCATTTCTTTCTAGAAAATTGGGAGAAGATAACTTGCGACCAGTCAGTTCTTACACTGGTGGGGGGAGCAAAGTTGGATTGGGTCTCCACTCCCTTTCAGAAATCCCCATCAAACACTCCATCCTTCTCAATAAAGAAAAGGAATCTAATAGACCAGGAGATACAAGAACTCCTTCAGAAGGGGGCCATATCACAGGTGGAAGGGACACCGCCTCAGTTTCTAAGCCACCTTTTCTTGGTCCCAAAGAAGGGTGCAGGCTTTTGTCCTGTAATAAACGTAAAAAGGCTAAACCGTCATCTGAAATACCAGCATTTCAAGATGGAGGGTTTGTTCATGGTTCGAGATCTTCTCAGAATAGGAGACTTCATGTGCAAAGTAGATCTAAAAGACCCATACTTTGCTGTTCCAATGGAGAAAAAGACAAAAGGTACCTCTGGTTCAAATGGAATGGTATGATTTTTTAATTCAATTGCCTTCCTTTCGGTCTGGCCTCTGCGCCGCGCCATTTCACAAACTTGCTGAGACCGGTGGTAGCGTTTCTCGGATGCCTGGGAATGAGGATGATTATTTATCTCGACGATGTGTGGCTGGTGAGCACCAGTCGTCAGGGTCTTCTCAAGTGTAGGGATTCCCTTCTTTTCCTCCTCCAATCCCTCGGTTTCACAATAAAATGGGAGAAATCTCAGTTAGTGCCGACAAGAAGGATAGAATTCCTGGGGTTTTGTATGGACTCCACTGAAATGACGTTCTACCTACCGGAGGGGAAGGTGGATCAGATGAAGAATCAGTGCAGAGATGTACTACAATCTCTCTGTAACAGTGCGTCAGGTGTCTCAGCTGGGGGGAAAACTGCTATCATCTGTTCAAGCCATTCTTCCTGCAACTTTGCAGTGCAGATACCTCCTATGATACAAATATGAACGTTGTTTCAGGGGAAGTCTTTCGAAACTCCCATTGACTTTGGATCATGAGGCGAGAGAGGAAGTTGCATGGTGGATCAGTCAAATGGAACAGTTCAGTGGTAGAGCCATTATCTCCCCCACACCGGATCTGACAGTGGGCTCGGACGCCTCCAACAAGGGCTGGGGGCAGTATGTCAGGGTCAGACAACTCAGGGTGTGTAGAGTTCCATAGAGCTATCATATCACATTAATGTGAAAGAGCTCCTTGCCGCTATAAAATCATTCACAAAGAACAAGAAAAAAATGCGTGTTCACATGAGGCTGGACAACCAAACGGCAGTTGCACGCTTAGTCAGAGGTGGGGGAGGGGTGGTGTGTGTGTGGCGAAATCCCGTTTGTTAAACGGCTTCTCCAAGGCCATATGGAAATGGTGTGCTGCAAGATCAATAAACCTGACAGCGGAACATCTGCCGGGAATTCTGAATTCTGTGGCAGACTGGCAGTCTCGGAATTACCAAGACAGCAGCGATTGGATGTTGTTGAACAGAGTCATGTTCAAGCAGATTCTGTCGCTCTTTGGACCATTACCAGTGGACCTGATTGCGTCCCGGTTGAACAAACAGCTGAGCCAGTATGTCAGTTGGAAACCAGACCCAGGTGCCTCGGCGACGGACGCTTTCCTCCAGAACTGGAAACATTATCAGAACACTGCATATGCGTTCCCTCCGTTCATTTTGGTGGGGAGATGTCTGGCCAAAGTGAGGTGTGTGTGTGTGTGTGTGTGTGTGTGTGTGACACCCCAGTGGCAGGCTCAGGATTGGTTCCCTCTCTTGCTGGAGATGGCAGTGCCGAACCCAATCAGGCTACCACTAACTCGGGATCTCTTAACCTCGCCTTCGGCTCAGGTCCACCCGTTAGTGGAGCTGAAGACACTGCATCTAGCAGTTTGGAAGGTTTCAGGGAATCCCACTCAACAGCTGGAATATCAGAGGGATCTGCAGACCTTCATGCTAGAGCATGGCGGTCAGGAACAAGGGCAGCTTACAAAAGCGCCTGGGGACAGTGGGTTTGCTGGTGTCACGAACGGGAAATTGATCCCGTTCAGTCACCTATTTCCGCTGTTATAGATTATCTGACTTTCCCTTACGATAAGGGATTAAAGTACCTGACAATTAATGCTCATCGGTCAGCAATCTCCAAAAAGCATGCTCACTTAGGGGGTGTTAAGGTGGGTCAGTTGCCTGTGGTCTGCGAGCATATGCGGACAATCCTTAATGCAATGATACAAACCCCTAGATATACCAAAACTTGGGATGTTGAGAAGGTTTTGGGTGCCATCAAGGGTTGGGGGGGATAATGTGAATCTCTCAGATAAGCTTCTCACAGGAAAACTGGCTATGCTGTTAGCGTTAACCTCCGCTGGAAGGGCGTCAGAGCTTCAGCAGTCAGACACAAGATATATGTGTATCAAAGAGGATAGGGTAACCTTTCATTTGACAAAAAGAACAAAAACTTGTAGGCCAGGGAAAACACATAATGTGTTAGAAATCTTTAGGTTTGAGGAGGACAGGTCCTTGTGTGTAGTTGAATGTACTGAAGTATATTTGTCAAGAAGTAGATTATGGCTGCGAAATGAAATTGTAGATTTCATCAGCTCACGTAGTTAGCGCCATGAAATCATAATTGTATGAGTAACCGAAGGCAAGATATGAAAGTGTTCCCACCCACCCATCCCGTTTGCTTGCCTTCGGTACTAAAATATTTCACCTTTGTTGCAGGTAGGACCTAGCCAAAGATGGAGTCCTGTGTTCTGACGATCTCCAGTGTGTCCGGACAGCCTGATAGTGTGGAGCCCTTTGTGGCTTGATAGTGACTTTAATACTCTAATTCAATTCCGTCCAGATGCCATGTATGCATTGTTTTGCTATTGTTGAGCATCAAAATTATTGTTGATGAGCTTGGACCCTGTTTTCTCGCTGTTCTCCTGCTAGCTGAAAGCTGGTAATGGAGAAAGGCGAATTTTCGCGGGACTTTGAAAAAGCTCGTTTGCGCCACCTGGTGGCGGGGAGATAACACTTTCATATCTTGCCTTGGGTTACTCATAAAATTATGATTTCATGGCGCTCACTACGTGAGCTGATGAAATCTACAATTGTTGGCGACTTATAGCCCATTATTATGTTGTATTGTTAAAGATAGAAAAAGCGTTTTATGATCAGATGCTAGTTTTAGGTGTAGATCTGTGATAGACAGTTATTTTACTGTTCTTTGCAGACAGGTAGGTATATATATTTGCTTTATCAGTCATTCCCAAAAGATGCAGCTTTTTCCCGTATCAGGATTAAAACATCAAGACTACCGTCAATGTTTATGAATGGAAACTTGTTCTCGTCACTATATGGCTGGAATAATGCCGATGTGACGTAAAGCCCAACTCAACTCAACTCCTTTCTGCAGCTAGCATTGTGTTACAAATATTTCTCCTTCCCGCCTTCTCTCTTCTCCTCCTTGGCAGTTAGTGAGGCCTGAAGTTGTCCTGACACTGACAACTTTTAAAAAGTAAGAAACTAATGAATGGCACTACAGACAAGAATTTAATCAATTAAAAAGTAAATATAATACATACACATCCTTATTTACAGATGGGTCAAAGGATGGTGGCGCTGTTGCTTGTGCCACTGTCGTTGGATCCAGAACAATATCTTCTCGACTACCAAATAACAGCTCTATTTTCACAGCAGAAGCTAATGCCATATTAACAGCTCTGAAATATATTAATAAACACCGTACATATAAACAATACATAATCTTTTCCGATTCTCTTTCGTGTCTTCAGGCTATTAAAAATCTTTCTTGTAAACATCCACTTTTATTAGAAATTATTGAATTGTAAAATGAGCTTGCTACTGAACAATGCGACATCGTCTTTTGCTGGTTACCCAGCCACGTTGGCATTTATTGGAATACAATGGCTGATTTTGCTGCCAAGGCAGCACTCAATAAATCTGTGACACCACTTCTTATTCCATACTCTGATTACAAAGCTAGCATTAGAACCTACATCCGTGATCTAATGCAAAAGAAGTGGGACACCCAAGTAGGTTTTACAGTCATTCCAGCAAAATTGACTCACTTGTGATTATACATACACCAAAAAATGAAATATCTATTGTTAATGAAATGACATTTATTTCTTAAAAACAAACATCCAACCTATTCAAATCAAAACTTTCACTCACAAGATATTTTTGGTTTTCGAGATATACCACCTTCAAATGTACCTTCTTATACTTCTGTTATGGAGGTGAGAATTATTATTTACTTCAGATTGAATCTCTCCCAATTACGACAAGCAAGTTACATATTTGTCAAATTAAAGAGGAATACGTATTCTGTTGAAGCACAATAAACTTTGTTTACCTCGAGCTTTTATAATCTGATACTGTTAAGTGAAAACATTCGTGTCTGATGAAAAACTTACACGGAAATTAAATGTTTCATTCCAAATGTGTTTATATAAAACATACACCATAATCAGTCAAAACAAAAACTTTATCAATATTTCACTTTTGAACTTTAAGAAGACCACAGTTTATTTAACTGCCAAACAAACGACATGATCAGTAATGCCAAATTTACATAGATGTCTCCCTGTTATGGAAGTTAAAATTTGACATGAAGTTTTCAAATATAAGCATAAACATGAAACAATACCATTAATACCAATGTAATAATTCAGAAAATGCAATATCACTGTGTTTATAAAAGCAACAAAGCAATATATGCTGTAACTTGCAAAACGTTACGGAGGTTATACTAGAATTTGAATTTGAAACATATATTAAAACTGTCTGTTTTATCAAAACCAAACAAACGTAACATCCACCACGTATCCATAGAACACGTGTAGCACGTCTAGAACCCTGTGAAACAATGTCCGCTTTGCGATATAGATTACCGTTACGGAAGTTATAAGTTATGGAGGTTAGGATTTTGTTCATCACAGAAATCTAATTACAAAACCTGTCATCATGTGCGCGTTTAAGTTACATATTTTAAGTCCTCTTTCATCAATTATTTATTGAGTAAATTCAGTCTTTGTTAAATGAATCAGGACTCCCACAGGTCAGGGAAAAGTCAGGGAATTTTTAGCTTTCCTCCAGAAGTCAGGGAAAAGTCAGGAAATTTTGGGTTTAAGTCAGGGAAATGTAGGGTTATGGTCAGAGAAAAATCAAAACTCAGAATGTCACTAATTAGGTATGGTAGTATGATGGCTATGGTGGTTTTCTTGCAAATTGTGAATGCCCATTTTGGTCAACTTACCCATATAATTTTGATTGGTAAAGTACAGTTTATGTTTATAAAATATGACTATGTTCTGACATTTGCTGTTAAAAATGAATTTCATGTTTTTAAAGTCACAAAGCAAGACTGCTTAAAGGGATTTGCACCTCTTGCATCCAGAGAAACCATTAAGAGTACTCTTTCTCTCTCTTACAGCTGTATGTGGTGGTGGAGATATATCTGCTATATCTGCTTTTTTATTTTCTGTATTTCCTTTTACAGGCTCATTCTGTCACCAGATACTAATATCTGGATCGATGAGTTTTGTTGCTCTCTTGAAGCTAACAAAATTACCTCAAGTCTCGGGTTGGGTATTGCATGGTATTCTCTTTAGAGACAGTAGATCGTCGATGGCATGCTTTTGGTCTGGTGATAGACTCTTTAACTACAACAGATAAACAGAAGATAAACAATCATGAATAGCAAGAAAACAAAATTCAATTCAGACTGGCTCACAGATCCAAAGTTCAATGACTGGATTGGAAAAGACAAAAGTAATCATTACAAGGCTCGGTGTATGATGTGTGGTGTGAGTTTTGAATTAGGGACCATGGGGAAAAGAGCTCTTATTAGTCATGCTTCCGGAAAGAAACACACAGTGAAAATGGGTATTGAATCAAAAATTAAACAGGAAATCCGTCCTTTAAGTATGCACTGGGGACCATGTTTGATGCAGGATGACACAGGAAGTGCAGCATCAACAGCAGCAGCCATAGACACAAACACTGCTGAAACACTTCATATACCTCCACCACCAGATACTGGACCTGCGGCAATGGACAAGGCAACTTCAGGAACTTCCAAATGTGCAATATCAACATTCTTGACAAATGACCAGGTTCTAAGGTCAGAAATCCTTTGGTCTGCTAAAACTGTAGTAAACCATTACTCTTTCTCCTCCAGTAACAACATGGATAAACTGTTTCGAAACATGTTCCCAGACAGCAAAATTGCGGAGATATTTTCTTGTGGCTCTACAAAGGTGTCCTACTTGATAAAATTTTGGCCTTGCTCCTTACTACTATGATAATCTACTGGAGAAAATGCAAGAACATCGCTTATAATTTGTTGTATCCTTTGTATTAATAGACAACTACAGAAAGAACAAATGGATTTGCTGCTAAGGTTTTGGGACAGTGATAAGAAGATGATAGTAACCAGATATTTTGACTCTGAATTCCTAAGACACACTAGAGCAGATAACTAGTTGGACAACTTCTTGAAGGGGATTTCAAAACTTGATATGTCCCAAATGCTACAGGTGTCAATGGATGGTCCTAACACCAATTGGAAGTTCTATGAAACTTTGATGAAGCAACGTGAAAGCTCATCACCAGACATACCATCACTTCTGTCATTTGGTACCTGTGGACTGCATGTAGTTCATGGAGCATTCAAATGTGGTGCGCAACAGACAAGTTGGAACCTTGACAGTCTTTTAAGATCCATGTATTATTGCTTCAATGAGAGCCCTGCAAGGCGCGAGGACTACCAGACACTGACTGGATCTGCCTAATTTCCCAAGAAATTTTGCAGCACACGCTGGCTGGAGGACATAGATGTAGCTGAGAGAGCTCTTGATATCAGTCCACATCTGAGAAAGTACTTTCAAAAAGTGAAAATGTTACCAAAGAGCCAGATCCCAAAGTGTCAGTCATTCCACAACATGATAAAATATTTACAAGATCCTCTTATTGATGCAAAACTACATTTCTTCATTTCCATAGCCAGGATCTTAAAGCCTTTTCTACAAGATTTCCAAACTGACAAACCAATGATGCCATTTATCTCTCAAGAACTGAAAAACATTCTTCTGTCTATTCTCTCCAAATTTATTAAGAAATCTGTTCTTGGGGAGAAAACTAACTATGAGCTGACTCAAATTGATGTTAGGAAGAAGGAAAACTTGGTTCAAGCCACGAAGGTTGAAACTGGATTCGCTGCAAAGCAAGCGATTACTGAACTCGAAACTTCCAAGAAAGCAAGTGAACTTCAGATATTTACTTTCTTCAATGAATGTGTTCTGTTCCTGCAGGGATTGTCAGTAAAACTCATGGAGGGAAGTCCCTTAAAATATTCTCTGGTCCGTGCACTTTCATCTCTCGACCCACGGTTAATGGTGAATAATCCTGAGAGGGCATGCAAGAAGTTTGAAGCAGTGCTACAGAAGTTGCTTCAGCTGAAATGGCTGGAAGCAGTCAAGTGTGATGATGTTCTGAGAAAGTACAGAAGATGGCTTACTGAGATGGCAAATCATGACAAAGAAAGTTTTCTGTCTTTCAAGCCCAAGTCTGACTGACTTGATACATTCTTCTATAAACATATTGGAGAAGACAAAGACTTTTTTGGAGTTGTGGAATGTAGTAGTCATGCTTCTTGCTTTATCACATGGGCAGGCATGTATTGAAAGAGGATTCTCTGTCAACCAGGATATCATGGAGACAAATAGGAGTGAAATGTCAATCATAGCCATGCGCAGAGTTTTTGATGCTTTAAGTGAATTCAAGGTCAACTTACATGACATGCCTATACCAAAGAAAATGATGCAGTACTGCAGGCAAGCCAGGCATCGTTACTAAACATACTTGGATGCTCAGAAAGCAAACAGAGCTGAAACAGAAAAAGGAAGAAGCTGTGGCGAAAAAGAAAAGAAAACACCCCCTTGAAAATGAAGTGATTCTGTTGCTGAAAGATGCTGATGAACTGGCATTGAATGCTGAAAAGAAAAATAAACTTGAACCAAATCAAATGCTTACAGAACAAAGGTTGGGTAGATCAAAACAGAAATTATTCATCTTCGTGAGGATATTGAGAACCTAGAAAAAAAAAGTTGAAAGAAGAATACTAATGTGATATTTCAAATCTGTCTGCTGCAGCATTTACCTTTTATTGTCCAAACTTACAGTGTCAGCATACCTGGTAATGTCACAAGGCTGTAATTGCTGCAGTTATTGTTTATAAAGTTGTATTGGATGCCTTTTTCTTTAAATCATATTTGCTGCATTTCGTGTGTATTATGTGTTTAAGTTACAGTTGTTTGAAAAGAGGTTTTGTTAAGAAAAGGTTACTTTGAGTCCAAAATACAAAATTGAAGTGGTAATATTACGTGATTTTGTGATAATGAAGAAGTGTGTTCCTAAATGAAACAATTCAGTTAAATCATTACTTTCAAATCTATGCTCTTTGTCAAAAGCCTTTAATATAAAACACAAAGTTTTAAGATAATACATTACTGACATTGTCTAAGAATATATGATGGTTATACTCAAATGTATCTCCTAGTGTTATGTGGCATTGTGGCAGGAGAGTCAAAGAAAAATTTCTTTGTTACAAACATAAATGTTTTGGTAAGTGTGATATATTTACAAAACAAATGCATGTATTTATGATATGTGTGAAGGAAATATCTTAAAAGGGGTGGTTCAGACTGGCTGAAGGGGAGGAAGGAAGCCAGTTTTTACATTTAAATGGTCAGGGAAAAATCTATACTTGTCAGGGAATTTTGGTCTGCCATGCCTGTGGGAACCCTGATGAATGTTTACAGGAAGAAATACATGTTATGGAGGATAGGTCCTTAAATGCGACATTCACAAAATCCAGTTCTAACACGATGCTAAAGATATATAATTTGTGATGTTGACATTAATGGTAACAATGTCTATTCAGTGACTATTTATTGACCCTTCTGAATGAAAAATGCAATTATTTCTGGTTGTATGTTGAAGTCATTAGTGATAATCAAAACGTTACGTAGGTTAGACGAGTTTTGGCGACATGAAAACATCGAGAAAATTTTGATTTGGTACAATGTGGTTAAACTTTTTCTCGAAGAAATTTAACATATTTATCTCCAAGAAATAACATTAATTTTTGACAATTCCAACAACAGCATTGCACCACACCTTATTTACATATAGAAATTGACTGGCGACATTGCATTTTAGTGTCTTGAACATATTACGACTACTGTCTGGCACCGATAGCAAACAGTAGTGAAGCAGATTGTATTTGTTTTCTAGCAAAAGTTAGAGTCCCCCCAATACAGTTTCTTGTTTATTTTTTAGATGTCTATAACCGTGTGTATGCTGGCGATATGGATACACATCAATTGGCACCATTTTTGTGGAATGACTGATTAACAAATTACATGAAATAAAACCTTATATTGGTTTCACCTACTTGGGTTGTCAGATTTGAGGAGGTCATTATGCGACCTGTTAAAAGGTGAAGATCCTCCGTTTTGTATCAATTGTGATGAGAGAGAGTCACAGTCAGGCATCTCCTGCTTGACTGTGTTGAATTCTCCATCATAAGGGATAAATATTTCAATGTTAAAACTGTGGATCTTTTAATACTGTTCATTTTCATTAAATTCTTGCTTTTTGAAAAGAAATTGATTTAATTAAAGAAATTAGATGAATATGTTCTGTAGATAGATGTATTTTAATGATATGTAGATTAGATTAGTAACTTAGATTGTCAGTTGCTGTGCCCACAAAGGGGGTTAAAGTACTGTAAAATAATTGTCCTCCTGAGAGGGTACGTAAGTCCTAAAACACTCAAAGTAAATGTAAACCTACTACCATTTTAATCGTAGAATATATGTTCGTCTAATTTGTGGCTAGATTATCTTAAATTGCTAAATGCTGTAGGGATGAGGTAAATCCAGGTAGGGTCCATGCAGGAAGTAAATGTACTGTAAGTCCCCATGGTCCCCAGTATGGTGATCTTCCTTCAGTTGTTGGCAATACATAGCCTGTTTTACCTTGTATTGTCATCTATAGTTAAACTGTTTTAGATTTAATTACTAGTTTTAATTTCGAATCTGTGATAATCTAGTTATTTTACTGTCCTTCGTTAACAGGTTTTTACAATTTACCATTATTTAATATGTATAAAATTAATTGTTCTCGTCACGATATGGCTGAAATACTGCCGATGTGACGATAAATTTTAACTCACTCACTCACTCACCCATATCTTCGGTTGTGAAAGATTGTTTGTTTAATCAGAAGGAACATTATATTCAAAGGATTATTTCGCTTTTCCTTGGATCCAAATAGCATAATTTGAGGAGTAAGTTTAATCCTTATTCCAGCATCAGACATGAGCTACTCTTCAATTTTTCTCCAAAAAA